TGTGGTGTGTGGTGTGTGGTGTGTGGGGTGTGGTGTGTGGTGTGTGGTGTGTGGTGTGTGGTGTGTGGTGTGTGGTGTGTGGTGTGTGGTGTGTGGTGTGTGGTGTGTGGTGTGTGGTGTGTGGTGTGTGGTGTGTGGTGTGTGGTGTGTGGTGTGTGGTGTGTGTTGTGTGGTGTGTGGTGTGTGGTGTGTGGTGTGTGGTGTGTGGTGTGTGGTGTGTGGTGTGTGGTGTGTGGTGTTGGTGTGTGGTGTTGGTGTGTGTGTGTGTGTGTTCGTTTTTGTTCCCTCCCGAGGTCCCCGAGGCCGAAGGCGGCGCCGCCCTCCAGGCGGAGGCCCACCCGCCCCGCCTCGAGGGGCTCCCCGCCGGGGGGCCCTGGGTGCCACGGCAGCCTCACCTCGAACCTTCTGCGGCAGCTCGTGGGAGCCTCCCATGCCGTCTTGCTGGCTCTTGCGAGTCGGCGTTGGCCGACGCGGCTCGGCGCTGATTGACGCTGGTCAGCGCCGAGTCGCCGCTGGACCAGGGCCACATCGGCCTCTCTCATCGACTACCAGACGCTCGCGCACGCGAGTGCACTCAGACGGAACTCCGAGGACATACAAGGCTCCCATGAGTTGCTACCGAACGAACCGGCTCCCCAGCGGAAGCGGCTCCCACAGCTGCTGCACGTGCGTCACCCAGTCCTTGTCCTCGACGGGCACGGGTCGGAGCTCGGGCGCGGCCTCGAGCTCGAACGCCTCCTGCACAGCGCGGGCCACCTCGTCCAGGTCCGCCTGGCAGTCGAACATGGCGGTGACCTCGCTGTGCCTCCACAGCGGCGCAGGGTCGCCTGGCGCGGCGCGCATGACCTCCAGCGAGGGGTCGCCGCCACCCGCCGCCGCCGCAGGGGTCACCGTCGCGGCGCTGGCCCCGAGCCCCAGCAGGAGCTCTGCGAGCGCAGCCGGCTCCTCTGGAGAAACCAAGAGGTACCGATGCCGCTCCTCCGCGGACCCCTCCCGGAGCGCGTTCTGACCAGAATCTCGAGGCGAATCCGGCCTCGGCGACGAAGGCATCCCAGGAGACCCAAAAAGGCGAAATCGAGGGCCGTATCGGTAGATTCTCCTCTGGTGATCCTCCGTGGCTATGGTCACCTCCACCAGGGGAGATCCCTGGGCCTGCGGCAGCGCCCCTGCAGCTGTCGCAGCGGCCGTGCGACAGCCACGGCGCGGCCGCCGGCGCAAGCGGGGCCCCACGCGCCAAGAGGGGCACCAGCGAGTGCTCGCGGCAGCGACGGCCGCCGCTGCGGCGGCGGCGCCGAATGCGCGCGCCTCGGCAGTGGCGCCTCGGCAGTGGCGCCGCGGCGGCAGTGGTGCCGCGCCAGAAGGGGCGCCGCCGCGGCAGTGGCGCCAAGTGGCGCTGGCCGCGGCCGCCTCGGGGCCGATGCCCGGCCCGCCGCGCCACAGCGGGCCAGGGAGCAGCGGCCGCGCAGGGGGCGTCGCCGCAAGGAGGGGCAGCGCCATGTCGGCTGCTGGGCGGGGGGGAGGCCACCAGCCCTGCAGCCGATGACAGAGACAACAGATCTTGCGGCCAGAAGTCTTGGCGCACATCCACGACCAGCATGGACGTACCGAGTGAACCCTCAAGATGGGAATTGTGTCGCGATGCCTGGATCATGCGGCGGCGCGAGACGCCCCACCTACATACCCAAGCACGGTGGCGGGCACGCGTGGCAACGCAGGCGGATACCGCGCTGTGGCTTCCAGGGGCGCGGATTGAGCGAGGGGCGAATCTGGGTCCGAGAACTCCACGCTACGATAGGAGCTCGCCGCAGGCGCCGATCTCTCCCGAACAGACTTTGCCCGAGGGTCCTTACTTCTTCGGTGAACTGGTGCCGCGGCGCCAAATCCCCGCGGTTCCCGTGTCCCTGGGCCTCGGCTCCCGGGCCCCTGGGCGCCAGGTTCCAGCTCCTGCTCCTCCCACTCACTGCCGGGGCCCATGTGCTGATTACTGCGACGGTATGCGACTCTACGAAATATTCGGGCAAAGATACGCAACGCTGTGCAACAACATTACATGCTGTGCCGCGTTGTACCATAATACACCATTGAATTGTGCTACGGGATCCTAGCCTATGCCATGCTACACCACGTCGGTATACGGCATACGCAGCGCGATGTCATGTCATACCATGCCATCATACACACTTGAGCATAGCTCATTGAGGTCACATGGTGTGCGAAGATATGCTATGCAATACCGTGTAATGCTATGATGTGGGATGCGACGCTTTATAATGAAATGCTACTCTGTAACTCCCCTCGCTGGGCTAGAAACTAATGTGACGACTGTTTCTCTTTGGAACATTATCGTGACGCTTGTTGCTAGTCCTACCCGGTCCTTCCTTATCATCATGTTTGTGGCTTCCAATGCGCACTCTGCCTCTTCTTCGTACATTAGTTCCAATTGAGCATCCATCCTCCTCATCATCCTTGTCCTTGAGATGCTTATCCCGGCTCTGCTCGATGCTCCCTTCATGATTCTAAATGACCTCATCCTCCTCCTCTGCCCCCTCGTCCTCGTCCTGTTCTTCTCCCTCTGCTGCTCCCACCCTCCTCCTCCTCCTCCTCCTCCTCCTCCTCCTCCTCCTCCTCCTCCTCCTCCTCCTAATCAGAATCATCCTTCCCTCCTCATCTTTCTACTCCTTCTCCTTCTCCTTCTTCCCTCCTCCTCTCCCCCTCCTCCTCCTCCTCCACCACCTCCTCGACCACCTCCTCCTCCTCCTCCTCGTCCTCCTTCCTCCCGGCCCTCCTCCTCCTCCTGCTCCTCCTCTCATCCTCCTCCTCCTCCTCCCCACCTCCTCCACCTCATCGCCTCCTCCTCCTCCCCTCCTCCTCCTCCTCCTCCCCTCCTCCTCCATCATCATCAGCATCATCATCATCATCATCATCATCATCATCATCATCATCATCATCATCATCATCATCATCATCATCATCACATTCATCATCATCATCATCATCATCATCATCATCATCATCATCATCATCATCATCATCATCATCATCATCATCATCATCATCATCATCATCATCATCATCATCATCATCATCATCATCATCATCATCATCATCATCATCATCATCATCATCATCATCATCATCATCATCATTATCAGCATCAGCATCATCATCATCATCATCATCATCATCACCACCATCAGCATCATCATCATCAGCAGCATCATCATCAGCAGCAGCATCATCAGAATCAGCATCGTCATCAGCATCAGCATCATCATCATCATCATCAGCATCATCATCATCATCAGCATCATCATCAGCATCATCATCATCAGCATCATCATCAGCAGCATCATCATCATCATCATCGTCATCATCATCATCGTCGTCATCATGATCATCATCAACATCACCATCATGATAGTACCATCACCAGCATCATCATCAGCAGCATCATCGTCACCATCATGAACATCATCATCATATTACCACCATCATCATCATCATCATCATCAGCAGCAGCAGCAGCATCGTCATCATTATCATCAGCATCATCAGCAGCATCAGCATCAGCATAATCATCAGCAGCAGCATCATCATCAGCATCAGCATCAGCATCAGCATCAGCATCAGCGTCAGCATCATCATCATCATCATCATCATCATCATCATCATCATCATCATCATCATCATCATCATCGTCGTCATTGTCATCGTCGTCGTCGTCCGTAGCCATTTTGGCTCAAGCGCGCCTGATATTGTGTTGATAGAAGCGAAAAGGACTACAGTATTCAGCCGATGGCGCTCCTCATCGCCGCCGCCTCGCTGCTACCATTCGTGCACGCGTAGGGCCCGAAAGGGTCATGCGCCGTAGGGCAGCATCGCGCCGCAAAAGAGCATTCCTCCTACTCCTCCTCATCATCGCCTCCTCCTCATCAGCATCATCAGCAGCAGCAGCATCATCATCAGCAGCAGCAGTATCAGCATCATCACAAACGTCAGCATCAGCATCAGCATCATCATCATAATCAGCAGCAGCATCAGCATCATCATCATTACCACCACCACCACCACCACCATCATCATCATCATCATCATCATCATCATCATCGTCATCATCGTCGTCGTCATCATCATCATCATCATCATCACCATCATCATCATCATCATCACCAGCATCATCATCATCCAAAAACAATCTCGCCGATAGCGTGGATGTCGAGATGTGCGGACTGTCTTCGGGGCGCCCGCCCATCCTCCTCCTCCTCCTCCTCCTCCTCCTCCCTCCTCCTCCTCCTCCTCCTCCTCCTCCCCCTCCTCCTCAAATCCTCCTCAAATCCTCCTCAAATCCTCCTCAAATCCTCCTCCCCTCCTCCTCCTCCTCACCTCCTCCTCCTCCTCCTCCTCCTCCTCCCCCCCCTCACCCCTGCTCCTCCTCCTCCTCGATATACGATTTTGGGCTCCGACCGTCTCGGGCCGCCCCTCCATCGCGAAGCCGGCCTCCGCGACACGGTGCGAGCTCGGGCCTCTCGGGTGCCCCCTGCGTGTGCCATGCTTGGCGGGCTTGCGGGTGAGGTGGTTTGGGCTCGTTGGGCTGGCTGGTGCGCTGGCTACGTTTCATTCCGTAATGAAGGGCCGTTTCTGACCGCCCCCCGTCGGCGACCCCCCAGACTTCTTCTCCAGACCCACCCCCCCCCAGCACCTCCAAGACGGCCCCAAGTCAGACCCCCCCCACACACACACTTCATTACATAATTGACGATGGGGAAATTGGAGAGAACGCGTTTCCCGGGCGCTTGCCTTGAAACATTCGGCGCGCGTTTCGGAACCGTGGGTTGACCCCCCCCCACACCTCGGCGCCGTCAATCAATACCAGGGGGGCTTTCCCCCCCAAGCCCCCCCCTCCCGCCCCCCCCCCCCCCGGCGTCGGCGCCGGCGGCCGCCAGCAGCGCCGACGGCGGGGACGCAGCGACGATGACCAGAGGCAGTCCAATTTGGAGGGGGAGGGGGTTCAACCCGAAATGGAACGAATTACAACCGACTAGTCCCAATTCCAACCGTTCAGAGCGAATTGCAACCAGAAAAGAGACCAATTCCAACCCAACCAAAAATGATACCAATTCCAACCACGGATGGGATCTTCGGAATTCCTCCGGATCCCTTCGAATTCTTCGGAATTCCTCCGGATTCTTGAGGACTCCTTCGTAATGTCTTAGGATTCCTTCAGAATTCCTTGCGATTCCTTCGGAGTTGTTTAGGATGTTTTCGGAATTCCTTGCGATTCCTTCGGAATTCCTCCGGATTCTTGAGGACTCCTTCGTAATTTTTTGGGGTTCCTTCGGAATTCCTTGCGAAATTCTTTGCGATTCCTTCGGGATTCCTTAGGATGCTTTCGGAATTCCTCCGGATTCCTTTCGACTTGCCTTCGGAATTCCTTAGTATCCCACGGCAGGCTTGCCCTCATCTGTTCTCTGGATGCCTTGCAGCTGCCCGCGGGGGCAACCGCTCGCCGCCGTGGCGAACAAAAACCCGCTCTCGGATTGCATTGTTGCGCGCCGCCGCCGCCAGCTCTATTCAGAGATGCCTCTCGGCACGCTCCGCCCCCTCGCAGCTGGGTGGCAGTTGGTTGGTGGCCTGGTTGGCTGGCTGGCTGGTTCTTTGGCTGGTGAGCTGCTTGGTTGGCTCGCTGGCTGGTTGGCTGGTTGGTTGCCTGCCTAGCTGATTGGTTGGTTTGTTGGTTGGCCTACAGGCGCGCGCCATCTCACATGCCGAGGGGCCCGCCCGCTCGCGGATTGCATTTTTGCGTACCATTACTACCACTACTACTGCGACCACGACCACGATCACGACTACGACGACGACTACAACTACGGTTGCTACTACTACTACTACTACTACTACTACTACTACTACTACTACTACTACTACTACTACTACTACTACTACTACTCCTACACTACTACTACTACTACT